AAGATGATATTTGAAGGTTGTGGTCTAAAAGGATCAGTTTTTTCCTCTGTAAGTCAAATTTAAGCCTTGTTAAGTGTAATTTTTAAATAGGTTCTAATTATAGATATTATTCTACAAAGTATAAACAGTGTTTGTCAGAAGTCTGGTTTTTAATTGATTTGAAATTCTGTAGACATTAATCCATAGAAGTTAAGCAAGGTTTGGTGTCTGAGCTCACCTCCAGAAGCCTCTTTATCTTATAATCCATATAATGTAGGAATGGGATGAGGAGAGATAGCAGACTTGTCTTCCCTTTTTCCCTTCTTTCAGTCTTGATAGCACTTGATATACTGATGTGTATAGCCTTTGTTTATATGCCGATCCTAAGTCATATATAACGTGTACATACATTTCTGTTTCCATAAGTTTGGAAGAATATGTGCCTGTTGACCTTTGTTGTTTCTGGGAGTTGATAAGATTGAGCAGGGTTACTCTTTTTCTATATTGTATTTTCTACTCTATAGCAATTGTTAGAAATAACTAAAAAGCTTTCCTTTTGAGGGGAAAAAGATAGTACTTAAATGGAATGCTTTGGTTCTTATGAAAAAAAGGGGAAAAAAAGACTTCCAAAGGTTATAGTTTCTTTCAACTCTGGTTCTTTGAACTAGCTATATAGGTAGGAAATTAACCACTTCAGTTTTTTCTAAATAGATCAGAATGGGCCAGTGAGAAGAGTTTAAGTCCTGTGTAAGCAGTAAAGGAGAAAGTACTCCTTTACTGCTTAAAACAAGAGGTCTAGAAACCTTTTAGTTGATACTAAATTTTTGTTTCTGAAGAGGATTAGAAGTGCTTAATATTGTCTGTCAACAAAAGATGAGCTGTTATCTATGAATTAGATAATAGAGAATCAATTACTTATCTCATCCAAGAGGTTTTAGCCAAAAAATTAGCTTGTTTCTTCTTCTTGTTTACCGAACAATGGACATCATACAGCTTTCTAAAGTGCTTTAATTCTATCTCTAGCAGTAACTTACCAAAGTAATGTTTGTATATACTTCTAGAACTGGCTTAAAACAGATAACTTTACTAAAACAAATAAATAATTAGAATATTAAGTTTCTAAGTTTGGTCATAGAAGCCTGTAATGTATCATGTAATTGTCAGCAAGTTGAACTATAGGAGAATATTAAAAGATTTACTCTTTAACAGGAAAAAGAACATCAGGAACATGTTTACTTTCCATTATTCCTCACATGCCCCCGTCCAATAGTTTGTGGCACAGACTCTATTTTATTCCTGTGTCTATGATCCTGCAGTATAACTGTTGACTTACTTCTGGGTATAGGAGGAAAGGAAGAGTGGGCATACTGTTACATAAGACCGGCACAGGGAACTTGGGCTACATATGATAACCTGGGGCTGGGAATAGCAGTACTTTTTGGGCTCTTGAAGGCAGCATCCACTGGAGTGTGAACAAGGTTTTTTGGTAGCATTACAGCAATTGCTGTTTGTGTATATAGGTTATTTATAGTACTGTTTGAATAGAATACTGATGTAGGTAAAATATACCAAAAGAAAAGGATATTGGAGTAGTTTACATCCTATTTTCTGAATGATTTACCTGTATATAGTGGCCAAAAGTTAAACTGAAGCAGGTTATTTGGCTTATTAAGAAGAATGGGAATTACATACATTTTTTTTGTTTGTTTGTTTTGTTTTCTTTAAAAAATAGTGGGCATAGGCAGAAGGGAAGTCACTATACAGAAATAGCAGGGGCAAGGATTTGGAATGGAAATTAACAGATTGCATACTTTTATCATTTATAGTTTTCCTTAGAGTGCTTTTTCCTCTTCCCAGAGTATTTTCACTAAATACTCTGATTTTCTTGCTTCTATACAAAATCTAATTCTTGATGCGAAATGCTGTGATTGGGAAGTCAGAAAGTTATCTGAAGCTTTTTTCTTTTTAAAACTTGAATGTGTATACCGAATGATGTTGTTCAGTTGCAGAATTGGGTCTGACTCTTTTACGACTCCCATAGACTATAGCCTGCCTGGCTCTTCTGTCCATTGGATTTCCTAGACAAGAGTAGTTAAGTGGGTTGCAGTTTCCTTCTCCAGGGGATCTTCCCAACCCAGGGATCAAACCCACATCGCCTCCATTGGCAGGTGGGTCCTTTACCACTGAGCCACCAGGGAAGCCCAAACATGTCTTAAAAACAAGTTTGATATTTTCTAATATTACTATATTTATTCTTCTCCCTTCTTTTTCTTGCTATAAAGTATCCAGATGATAAATGAGCTTTAACATGCTTATAGTTCACCTGGCATAAATTTTAGCATCTTGAATCAGTAGACATTGCTGAAATGCCCCTTAGCTATGAAATTCAGACTGAAGGAGATTAAGGGTTTGTGTTGTTGTTGTTAGGAATTATGAATTTGTTTCAAACAAATACGTAAAATCTTAAGATACCTGAATGGCAGAGGTTCTAGGAAACACCTTACAACTGTTTCTTCATGGAGACTTAGTATTTTTTGTAGTATGTCTTCCAATTTGACAAATAGTTGGAGTTTCCCTCTAAAGAGAATGTAAAGCTTTCTGCTAAGTTTATCTGTTAGTAAATTTGCAGTACTCATTAAGTAATTGAATGAATAAATTTGGGGTCCAAACTATATTTACCTGGTGATTTTGTGCTTCTGGTATTCTGGTACACATACCCAAGTTGCACAGAAATGCATGTCAATATGCCAAGCACAGTATGTGGCTCATAGTGGCTGCTCTACATTTGTTTGCTGTTTCCCTTTTTAAAAAAAATACTACATGATCCCCTTGGAATAAGATGATAAATTAGTTACCAAGGAATCATTGGGTAGGAAATATTATAAATTATTAAGAATAAATTTACTATAATTTACAGTTAAAGTTCTTCCTATTATGTCTGTTTTGCCATATGATTTGAGAAACATAATATATAGGTATATGCCTTGCTCTAGTTCTTTTTCTAGTCTTAATAGGTATTAATCATTCAGAACTATTACTCTCATACATCTTGGTCCCTATAGTTTTCTACCTTTCTGATCTTTTAGTCACTGAACAGTTTTGCAATATATATATATACACACACACCTCTTTAGGTTTCATCCATAAAATAAAATGATTGGATTAGAATGCTGTCTTCAGGTCCCTTTCAATGCAAAGTGTAAATTTCCACTTTAGTAGATTGTTGTATACTTCATCTCAGTATGTGATGTACTTACCATTGAAAAGGGACTAAAAGCCTTCTGAAATGTATATACATGTAAACTTACATGAGTCCATTCCCATATCGTGCAGTCTTCTACAGTCTGTTTATTCTCATTCTGAAAAGACCTGTTCTTTCCTTTTGGCTTGAGTTTTTCTGTTTTTGTTGTTGTTGTTTGTAATAGTGTATACTCAGCCTCAGGATTATGCAGCCCACAAATGATGGTTCCTTTTCATTTGTTTACCTGCTTAGTTCCTTGTTTGCTATAGTGAACAGTATACCTCAAAAAGCTTTATCAACACTAATGACACAAATGATCTTCCCTGTTTTTTTGTATGTTCTTTGAGGGACAGTGTGGTCTAAAGTATTCTTACCTTCCTGACAGTTAACTTTGGATGAACTTATGAACAGCATGAAATGTGTTCTTTAAAATTACAGAACCACAGTGATTTGAAATCGGTGTTCACTATTACCTAGTGTTAATATTAGAATAACTGATATATAAGATGAACAAAATAGGTATTTTTAAATTGAAATTGAAATGAAGTAATAATAGCAGATTTTTCCTCTTCCTAAAAAGTAGTGTATTTAACTAGCAGATAATAACTTGGTTATTTTAAATTGAAGTTTATGGTTTATTAATTATAATAAAGTTGATACTTATAAAATAGACCAATTTACTAATATAAATATATATTTATGTGTATGGTGTGAACATATGTCTGCTTGTGTTTTAAAACAGATATGACCACATTCTGAAGTGGGAACTCTTTCAGCTGGCTGACCTGGACACATACCAGGGAATGCTAAAGTTGCTTTTCATGAAAGAACTGGAACAGATTGTTAAAATGTATGAAGCCTACAGACAGGCTCTTCTCACGGAGTTGGAAAATCGTAAGCAGAGACAGCAGTGGTATGCCCAGCAACATGGCAAGAATTTTTAAGTTAATTTTTTAAAAACAAAATTTAAGTTTTATAAGGGCTTTAAACTATTTTCACAGATTAAAAAACTGCAAATACTTTGGTTAATAAAGGCAGCTTACTTTTTGGAAATTATAAAATTCTAATTTTACATGTATTTTGTTATTAAAAATATTATTTTATTGAGAAAAAAATGAGTTTATCATTTTAAGGGCCAACAGTGACACTCTAAATGCTGTATATCTGAAAACTGCTTTGCATATTCTTGATGGAGACAAATGTCATTTAACCAGATATTAAATAGGAAATGATCAGTTGGTAAACTGTCACAATAGTAGTAAAAAAACAGAGAAAGAGATAACGTATGCAGTATTTAAAAAGCGTTTACTGCTGTAATGTGGAATATTGTCTGGAATTGGATGGTTTAAATATTACCTTGTGTAGTTCAAAACAAAACGACTTGGAACCTTTATTGTGATACATTTTTATATATAATATATAGGGTTACTCCTCCTCCCTGCCCCCAAATGTAAAGAACTGTTTTAAAACATGTTGGAAAAGTATTTTTTTGGTGTTGAAAGGGTGAAGGGCCTGTAATATTTCAGGAATAAATTTAGGTAAAAGGCTCCAGCCTGTGTGGGGACGTTGTGTACAGCACTCAAGGGTTGCTAACGTTACTTCCTTCCTTTGGGCCAGGGCTCTTATGGCACTTAGCAACATGGTTCTGATGAGACTGAGGTCACTTCCCAGCAGCACAGCACGTTGCCATCCTAAACGACTGGGTTGAGCTGCCAAAAATGACAATCAGGGATTCATTAAGAAATCTTGGTCATTAAATTGACTTTACGTATTTTTTATCTTCCAAGTTTGTCACAGAAGTTTAAAACCTGGCATTTTCCTCCCAACTTATTTTCCTTTTGGTTTAGTAGTTATTAAGACACTGTTCATAACTAGCACAGTACATTTGACTGCAGGCAAATTTATGGCACAGCTAGCCTATAAATCTCTACAATTCTGTGAATTTCAGCACTTGCTGAAATAGCTGTTCATTTATATTTACATGTGTTGTAAATATGTAAATAATTTTTTAGTTTAGGTAATCTTTCAAAATATAAAGTACTCCTAGTTAGATATTGGTGAATATGAGTTATTGATAAAATGTTGAAAATGTTAGTTGTTTGATTTTATATAACAAGCTTATTAAATATATTTTTGTGGAAACTAAATGTGTTGTATTTGAGTCCATGTTTTATACATAATGCTTATAAATATTCTACTTTTCCATTCAGCAGGCCCATAGGCAGAGGAAGCAGAATGAAAGGGGTATCCAAAATGAAAATAGGCCAGTGGAATTTTATCAGTGGGAAAAGTTATTTCACAGGCCATGTGATCAAACTTTGCTAAGATGTGAGCTTATATATCTTATGAACTCTGACATGCTTTTCCATCTTAATCATTGTTTATTCTTTCTTTAATATTACCATTTCATTTAACTAAAGCTTACTTTTTCTAAGAAAGTTATAAATTACTCTGTTTTAGAGCTTCTGGATAAGAGGCATTACTTTTTTTTTTTCCATTACTGCACATTTTTATCCTCTAAAAAGTATGTTCAATGAAATTCCACTACAGATTTTAGTAATTAGAAATACAATATAGAATCACTGGTTTAAAAGAACTGGAAGGTACCTAAAAGGGATCAGCATACATATGTTAAAATGAAAAGCTAAATCTGTAATGGTGTCAATATTAAAGAAAATGCATTTTGAATTTAAAAAACAGAAACTTTCCTCTTCTGTATCAGCACCTCCCAAACATTTCCAAATTCAGTTGTTTTTAATCTTAGGAACCAGAGTAAACTTTAATAATAGTTCACATGTTAAAAGAATAAACCTATGATGAATACATATCTTTGTGTACCAAATGAAAAAATATACAATGCAGTGAAACTCAAATACATATACAAAGTGATTTTTTTTGTGCATTTTTGATCAAGAGGTTTATATTCTATATTAAACAATAATATAAAAGAAGCAATATATAGTTTCTGATAAAGCAACTGAAAAGCTCTCTTAGATGTCTTTTATAATAAAAGCTAATGGTATATGTAAGATGGTATAGGTTGAATCAAGCCTATTTAGCTATGTTTTAACAAATGCCTATGTGAAATAATTTTAAAATTCTTCTGTAGAAATTAAATGAGCATATCTAAATGTGGAGTAATATTACTACATGGTTTAACTATAACCCAGTAGTAGTATTTAGTAAATTCAAGCAGAACACATGTACTGTTATCATAAATAGACAAATTCTTTAAATTATAATAGCATATTTGAAGACAAAATCAAGAAACCATACATGTTAACAAATGATATAACCATGCATACATATATCTGCTTATTAAACACTGAAGCAAAAGAACTAAGCTGTTGTGCACTCTTCATAGGTGCTTGGTATTTTACTCTGTTCTGATGGAAGCACTTTGTATGTGTGCATGGAAACATAAAACAATATTTAATTGACAATTTGGTCATGCACCTGTATTTTTTAAATTTGGGGTTACATTTTCTTCTTTTCTGATTGTTCAGTAGATTCTGACTTTGGTGCAGGAAACGCTTGATGATACAGATGTCTGTGGGTTGCTGCCGCACTGTAAAGCTTGTATAAAGCCTAGAAATAAAATAATCAAGATTATTTTTAAAAATGATAAAACATCTTATTAAATACACAGATAAAAACTTTTTCCTTTTAGTGTAATTTATGGTACTATATACAATTCAGCATGCTAAATTTGGAATCCTTAGTAATCTGTATAACATATATACTGATAACTAGTATCTCAGCAGTCAAAAGTATTTTCAACTCTCTAGTGTGTTGATATTACTACTTCTGTGGGTTGATCTCTATGGTAAATGTTCTATCCTCGGACTGCATTTTCTTTTACTGTTCCCACCTTTTGGATTAGAGCTTCCTAACTCACTATGCCCCACGGATGTGGAAAACTCATATTGTGAATATTATTAGTTTTAGAGGAATTATAGGAGCTCATAACTTGTGATTGCCAATAGCAAATTTATTATACACAGGTAGAACACTTGCTATTGGACCTTCCTGATAGGTTTTTCAGAAAGGGACCACTTTTTATTCTCCATAATTTCCTGATATGGTCATGCAAATAAGCACATGTGTTACCCCTTCCCCACCACATGGGCTTTCTCAAATATGCTCTCTTTCCTTGCTTCCACTAATTAGTTCATAGCTTACAAAACCTTTATTCAGAAACATTACCTTAGAAAGTCTTTCTTCATTAAAACTACCTGTCGTTGTTATTTGTCTGTGTAACAGTATTTGAATCATAAAAATGTTTACATACTGCTTTCTGAAGTGTCCATAAATATTTTTTTTAACCCCTCAGCTAGTATCTAAAATTCATTACCTCCTCTGACTTTCACATAATGAACACTCAGTTAAGACCAATTTATCTGATGTATTCTAGAGTATTTAAAAAGTCTGAGTATTTTTAAAGGCTGGATAAAAGCTTGATATCCTTAAACAGAATTTCCAGGAAATTCCATTCATTTTTATCTTTTTGAGTCTATATGGCTATTTTCTTAAGTCTGAATTATACCATGATCAATTTACAAATGCATACTGACACCTTAGTTCTATTCTGATTCTAATACATTCAATTTAATCCATGTTTTCTTAAAAGTTCCTTTTTCTTAAGATTTGATTTACAAAGTTGAAATTTATTTTTACTGTTTTAGTAAATTCATTTTACTGAATTTTACATAAAATCCTTGTTGACTTATAAATATTAAATATATACTTGGTATCTGATTGGCAGACATAATCTAGTTATATATAAAACAGCAGAAACCAAGGGAAGAATTATGTACTGTCACTGTAGTTGCTGAAGATCAGTTTTGCTTTCTGAAAGTAATGATTCCACAGAAATAACTTTTCTTATGTGAAAATGATTCCTTCTTAGAAACTTAGATTCTTCCTCAGATACAGACTTTCTACACATGTGCAGTGGGAGAAATGAACACTAATTTACAGGTCAGGTCCAAGGTATGCCAAGAAAGTTAGTTACTCTACATACTGGCCTGAAACCTGCTTAAAGTGGTACAGATAACTCATTCAGAAGCCAAAGTTGAAAATCACTTCTAAAGGTTGTAGCTCCTGTAACTAATTGACTCTGCATTAGTTAAGTTTCCTCAAGATTTTCATAACTACTTGTTTCATTCTGCAGTAGAACAAAATGTCCAATGTTAGAGCTTAAGATTTTTGAAAATTTCTAAACATTCAGAAATAAAATATTCATGATAATCAATTCTTGTGTTTCATATGCAGATAAAATAATATGTTCAGAGTAAATTAAATATTTTAAAACTTATCTACATTGAGACATCCTTTAATGACTAGTTGGTTTGTAAAATAAGACAATCATAATGTTTATAAATATACGAGTAGCTCTTAATTTAAGAAAGATTTAACTTACCTCATTTGTACTTCCCTGTGGTAAAGGCAGATTAAAGGGGAGAAAAGAGAAGTATATATCCTGCTTCATTAATAGCACTATGATAATCAACCTTATTTATATTAGTAATTTGTGAGCATTTAAGAACAAATACACCTTGAGGGAAGGGACATGTGTATACCTACAGCTGATTCATGTTGATGTATGGCAGAACCCAGCACAACTTGGTAAAGCAGTTACTTCCAGTTAAAAATATTTAGAACATACACCCTGCAGACTTCTTTGATTTAGATTACATATTTAATCAGAATCTTCTGAAGAACCCACTTCTGTATTCATCACAGGTTTCAGCATCAAATTCCAGGAGGGCTTTGGGATTTACCACAAATAGCCCCTCTTCATCTTTTGAGGTTGAGGGGCTTTTTGAGGCAGTGGCTCAGAGGATCCAGTTACATTAATTCTTTTCCAGTAGTGCTATCATTTATCAGTATATATCTCAACTAGATTCTCCAAAGACACATGGCAAATCCATCAGTTACAATTTGGTTTTAAAAAGTATAAACATACTCAGTGCTGACAGAACTGTAGCTATTACTTGCTACCTGCAGACTATAAATATTCACAAGTCTTAACTCCAAAATTTTATTAAAGTCTCAACTTTAGTTTCACTAAATTCCCCCAAATTTTCATGCGGTAATTGAAGACACTTCCAGGATGAAAGGTGAGATGATTTTTATTCTGGCATGTTATAATTGTTTCCCCTGTCCATAATCAATTATTTGAATAGCAGACCATGGTGACCCTGGGTTGGTTAGTTGAACCATAAAGGACAACTGATCCAGAAGCAGCTGATCCAGAGGTTGACCTGGACACATTTTAGGGCCTGGTACAAATGAATAGTTCAAAGAGACAATCTGAAGTAATCAGATACTGTGTTGAGGGGTTTTACTAAAAGAGACAGTGATACGACTTCAGATGGACATTTATATATGCCCCTAACAACGGTTCTATGAAGGCCTACAAGACCTTATAGAACTAACACCCAAAAAAGATATCCTCTTCATAATAAGGAACTGGAATGCAAAAGTAGGAAGTCAAGAGCTACCCTGGAGTTACAGGCAAATTTGGCCTTGGAGTACAAAAGGAAGCAGGTCAATGTACAAAACGAAGCAGGTCACAGACTAACAGTTTTGCCAAGAGAATGCACTGGTCACAGCAAAAACCCTCTTCCAACAACACAAGAGAAGACTGTACACATGGACGTCACCAGATGGTCAATACCAAAATCAGAATGATTAAATTCTTTGCAGCCAAAGATGGAGAATCTATACAGTCAGCAAAAACAAGACTGGGAGCTGACTGTGGCTCAGACCATGAACTCCTTATTGCCAAATTCAGACGTAAATTGAAGAAAGTAGGGGAAACCATTAGACCATTCAGGTATGACCTAAATCATATCCCTTACAATTATACAGTGGAAATGACAAATAGATTCAAGGGATTAGATCTGATAGAGCGCCCGAAGAACTATAGACAGAGGTTCGTGACATTGTACAGGAGGCAGTAATCAAGACCATCCCCAAGAAAAAAATGCAAAAAGGCAAAATGGTTGTCTGATGAGGCCTCACAAATAGCTGAGAAAAGAAGTGAAAGGCAAAGGAGAAAAGGAAAGATATAGCCATTTGAGCACAGATTTCCAAAGAACAGCAAGGAGAGATAAGAAAGCCTTCCTCAGTGACCAGTGCAAAAAAAATAGAGGAAAACAACAAAATGGGAAAGATCTTGTCAAGAAAATTAGAGATACCAAGGGAACATTTCATGCAAAGATGAGCACAATAAAGGACAGAAATGGTAGGGACCTAACAGAAGCAGAAGATATTAAGAAGAGGTGGCAAGAATACACAGAAGAACTATACAAAAAAGATTTTCATGACCCAGATAACCACAATGGTGTGATCACTCACCTAGAGCCAGACATCCTGGAATGCGACGTCAAGTGAGCCTTAGGGAGCATCACTGTGAACAAAGCTAGTGGAGGTGATGGAATTCTAGTTGAGCTATTTCAATCTAAGATGATGCTGTGAAACTGCTGCACTCAATATGCCAGCAAATCTGCAAAACTCAGCAGTGGCCATAGGACTGGAAAAGGTCAGTTTTCATTCCAATCCCAAAGAAAGGGAATGTCAAAGAATATTCTAACTACTGCATAATTGCACTCATCTCACACACTAGCAAAGTAATGCTCAAAATTCTCCAAGTCAGGCTACAACAGTACATGAACTGTGAACTTCCAGATGTTCAAGCTGGTTTTAGAAAAGGCAAAGGAACCAGAGGTCAAATTGCAAACATCTGTTGGATCATCGAAAAAGCAGGNAGAGGCCCTTGGACTGCAAAGAGATCCAACCAGCCAATCCTAAAGGAGATCAGTCCTGAATATTCATTGGAAAGACTGATGCTGAAGCTGAAACTCCAATACTTTGGCCACCTGATGGGAAGAACCGACTCACTGGAAAAGACCTTGATTCTGGGCAAGATTGAAGGCAGGAGGAGAAGGGGACGACGGAGGGTGAGATAGTTGGATGGCAGCACCAACACGATGGACATGAGTTTGAGTAGGCTCTGGGAGTTGGTGATGGACAGGGAAGCCTGTTGTGCTTAAGCCCATGGGGTCACAAAGAGTCTGACACAATGGAGCGACTGAAGTGAACTGAACAAAACCAAGGGCTTCCCTGGTAGCTCAGCTGGTAAACAATCCACCTGTAATGCAGGAGAGCCTGGTTGGATTCCTGGGTCAGAAAGCTCCCCTGGAGAAGGGACAGGCTGCCCACTCCAGTACCCTTGGGCTTTCCTGGTGGCTCAGATGGTAAAGAATCTGCCTACAGTGAAGGAGGCGTGGGTTCAGTCCCTGGGTTGGGAAGATCCCCTGGAGGAGGGCATGGCAACCCACTCCAGTGTTCTTGCCTGGAGAGTCCCTACGGACAGAGGAGCCTGGTGGGCTTCAGTCCGTGGGGTCGCAAAGAGCTGGACACGGCTGAGCAACCAAGCGCAGCACAACAAAACCAATGAGAGTCAAATGGCAGGTCTTAAGTGTGACGTCATCAACAAATAACCGAGCGACAATCAGCTAAATAAAAACTCAACTGTGTTTTCTCTCCACTTTAGGGATAAGAAAAACACTACCTAATCCATGTATTTTTGAAAAATAGTGAGATGTTGACTGGAAAACTTTCTATAGTTTGTATCTGGCCATCTTGACAAACTCTTTATAAAATTCTTAAAGTCATGTTTACCTCTATATTTTACAGTATCTAACATAGTGTCTGGAACACAGGTAGCATTCAAATAGGTGCTGCATTTAGTTGAAGAGAATTCAGTGTTCCTACCTGGTCCCACAAGGCTGCAGCCACTTGGTCTATTACAGCTCCCAGCTCTCGGTATTCTCCAGAGTACCGGATGTATGCCCAGGTGCACAAGGTGATAAGGGTCAGTCCCATTATCATATTGCATAGGCTAGCTATGATGTCCAAACCAATGAATCCAGTCACACCAGCAATCACATATGTGATAAAGATGACAACAAACAGTGTGGCTGGGGTACGAGCTGCATGGAAGATATTTTTGCTATCATTGTGCTTGATATACTGGATGTAGAGTTCATCTATTTCAGTCTCCAACTGTTGCAAGTAACGGCGGCTAAATTCCTCCCCACCCATCTTCTTCACCCCTCGAAATAGCTTCACAGATTCTTCCTTAAGCTCCAGATGTTTGGTCTGCAGGTCATTAGGGGCCAGAAATGGTTTGTCACCGCCACAGATCTGTATTGAATAGGAAGTATTATTTATGCAGTGCACAGTAAAACTAGCAACTGTATCACAATTTTGCACTTAAGCTGAATCTGTTAGAACACATTAATAATGAGAAGGAGCCTACATTTTATTTTGTCAACCCACATCTTTCCACATTTCATTTCTATCAGGGGAGACTATATGTGGGACTGGTAACTTTATAGGTGAAATATTAAAGCCTTAATTTTTATTCTCAACACAGATTGGAATATCCATTACTTAGTCCAATTTCCTTAAGGTGAAAAGGTTTCACTGATTTTTGTTTGGAGTCCATTCAGTATTTTCTTCAAGAGACTAAATGGAAACACGTTAAATGTTCAGACCACTTTTTCAACTTTTTTTCAAAAGTTACAGGAGAAATCTCAATTACCTATACTGTTAACTTTGGTTGAGATTTAAATATACATAGGAGACTCTCCATTTCCCCTTTAATTATGTCATAAACACCAGACCATATACTATATTTCCCTTGATTCCAAGGCTCTACCAATTTGGGGTGCAATTTTGATTTTATAACATTTTCAGTGGAAAGAAAACTCATCACATTAATAGATATACACAGTAATCAATAGATGCTTCCTAATTTAGAATGTTACTAGTAAAAAGAGGAAATATAGTACTTAGAAATATTGGCCCTTATGGTTTATTTTTTTCTAACAGGTTTTTATACTTAAGATAGAAACTGGACTTGTGGAATATGGGGAGGTATAGTGGAGACGGTATCATGTTATTTTAGCTACTTTAGATCTTATAAACAGGGGAAAAATCTGTATTCCTCCACCCCCACAATGTGAACTTTAAAGAGAAATATAGAGAGAATTCATTTAAAATACATTTAAATTTTGCACGTCATGTTCTCTTGTTTTCTGATTAAATTACTTTAGGAATACAGTAAAAAGAAATGTGATACACATAGGCTGAGAAAGTATAAGTCAGAGCCACTTCTGCATGTGTATACAGTGTAACGTGGAAGAAGAAAAGAATGAGTTCATGGAAGAAATACTGATTTTATTTAAAATGTGAGTTGAAATATTCTTACCTCTTCCATTTTTTTATTGTATGTATCCTTCGCAGTTGCCACGGCTGCTAAATTATTAGCTTCTGCTGTGGCCTTTGGACAAAGTACAAAGTATGATGTAAAATAGAATTCATATTTATTAAACTTCCACATATATACACACAATGTGCAAGAAATATGCAAGAACTCAAGGTCATCAGATAATTTAAAAAGTGCTGAAATACTTCTGTATCTTTTAAAATTAGTAAAATTAAAGTTTCAAAATGTATAATATATAGCTTACTCAATAAACCATAGTTCAAAAATGAATTTTCATTTGGAAGATTATTCATCTAAAAAATATTTTTAAGTCTTTCGCCAAATGTGTGTGTGTGGGAGAATCTATAAATCCAGACACATGGGAAATAATATATACATTTTATATATACTAATGGCCTTCCCAGGCAGCACTAGTGGTAAGGAACCTGCCTGCCAGTGCAGGTAGACATAAGAAACACAGGTTTGATCCCTGTGTCAGGAAGATCCCCCTGAGGAGGGCATAGCCACCCACTCTGGTATTCTTGCCTGGAGAATCTCATGGACAGAGGAGCCTGGCAGGCTGCAGCCCACAGGGTCATACAGAGGTGGACACGACTGAAGCAACTTACCATGCATGTTCTCATACGTAAAAATATGTCAACTTTAAAGATTACTACTGATAGAACAATGTATCACTGATAACATAAAGGAAGCATTAAGACTCAGAAATTTAAAAAGTATGGAAAAAGTGAATTTTTCCTTTCTTGAATGTTTATTTGTAGAGGCCACTTGTTTAAAACCTGGACCTACTTTTCTTGTCACTCGTATGAATCTAAACCACAGTATGAGTCTTTTCTGAACAAATTTAGTACAAAGAGAATGAAAACTCTCTTGCATCTCAGCACAAGTGAGGGTGCTATATGTGTATGTGAAAGTGATTAGATGAATCACTTGCACAAGTGAGTAGTTATTAGAAAAATAATCTGATATATCACTCCATCATTATTTTTATATGGTGATTTCTGACAGCCAGATTGGAGCATATCTTTAACTTAGCTTTAGTGACAGAATGTTTTAGAATGTCAAGACTCCTGATGAATAAATACCTGTAACATGGATTTGGGGTGTGGTAATTCTTCACCTTGATAGATCTTTATATAAGCCTAAAAAATAGGAAAGAAAAAGACTCATGTTCAAGTAGTTCCATTCAATATCTATGTTAAATTGTATTCTGAGGTCTAAGGTCTTGACAATTCAAAAAAATTAGATCTTGATAGTTTCAGGAAATATTATCTTTCTCATACTTTTAATTCCCTCTTTCTTATTAGTTCTTGTTCCCTTTTCCTGAAAAATCCTTTGCGCACATTTGCCAATCTCAGTCTTCCCAAAGGCTTACCTACCTTACCTCCTTTAAAACTTTCTCAGATCCCTCTGCTAGGAGTAATGTTTTCAGTTACCCACAGAAATCTGTACCTGCCTCAAGCTTTATGGAACAGATCTGTTCAAGGGCCCTGAGTCTCCTACTAAAATTCTACACTCCTCCACGGTGTTTTATGCACAGCAAGAATTCAAATTTTAGACAACCTGTCACTTTTTGCTGAGAGTGGTGAAGATACAAAGAAGGTATACAACCACATTTGAAATGACAAAACATCAATTTAAAAAACTGTTATTTTAGTCCTTGGAGCATCAATCCAAAAATCAGATTGATAACTGAAATCCACTATATATGTGCATTGGTTTAAAAAATGTGTTTTGGGCTATCTGAGGTAAACAGGTAAATGCAACTTTAACATATTTCCATTTCAAATTGGCCCATGGTGCAGAAAGCAGGAAATGTGGAAGAATTTTCTCCAGTAGGAAGGCAAAGTATAACCCATTAGGGAAAATCTTGAGAATGAAGGTAAAATTAAGTATAGGTCATAAATGAAGCCTCTGTGATCCTGGGAAATACCTCCTCCCCCTAAAAAGAAGCAAGACTTTTCCAACTCCTAGATACATTTCTGTTTTGAAATATATTCTCCTCAAGATAAAAGGTGACAGTAAAGTTACCTCAAGTTTTCTCAAAAAATAATTTCAGAAAGCAAGCTCCTCTTGAGAGTCTAATAATTTTTTGAATCATTTGTATATATTCCTCATACCTTTGTCCCCTCATATTATGGAGCCTATAATTTTCTGTTGTTTTAGGAAGGAACTGCATTCCCAAACATGTCAAATCTAAATACAAGTGCTCTAGAAATGAGAATGATACCTTGAAGTACTCTACCAGACCTCGGCAGGTGATTTTGTTCCCATTGATCTCTTTAATGTCTAGGCTCTCGGGACTAAGCAGCCAAGGAATGAGGATTTTCAAGTTTTTGATGAATTCATCATCTATTTCTAAAGTAAAAGAAAATTCATCATTATTTAAAAATTTTTAGTCTTTCATGGAATACCATAAAACATCCGGTAATTACCTCTATTTTTCCCCCAGTGATAAAGCTATCACTCACCTTCTGATCATCTAAATTACTCCTGAAACCCACTTTTCTCAGGGTGAACTATACTCCTTGCCCAACTCCTATTGCTGGTCTTTCTCATCTCCACTCCAATTACATATTTTTTTGTCTTTCACCTATAAAATAGCTTTCTTGATATTAAACAATACACAAATGTTTCACACCCCATTCACATAATGATGTCATGCATTCTGATGCCTTTAAGTCTTGTTCATCGTTTGATAGACAGTCATAAATGGAAGAAGGGCAGATATTTACTGTCTTATAAGATGTATTCCTTCCAGAAAGTATATCCAAAAGTTTTCTGTGTTTACTGTGCCAATCTTATGAAAAGTGTATAGAACTGTGTAAGGTGTGTTAGCTAGTACTCAAGTTCTTACACATAACCCATTTTATAGTATTAGGTTCAAGTTTAGCATTACAAATTTAGCAAAGTAACAAAGAAAACATATTCAGAGTAGTCTTTTGAACACAGCAATAATTTTTTAAATCATACGTAAAAAGCAGAGACTTGGTATATCCAGAAACTTGGTATCTAAGCAAATGCAGTAACTGCCTCTGATTTTTAAAAACCTAATTTCAGCAGTCACTGAGTTTTCAGGCTTTGGGATTGGTGATTTCTAAGGTCTTAAGGATAAAGATTCAAACTTTATGATTGTGTTTTGCATATTCTCTGCTTGTTATTATGACCCCAGTATACACTGAAATACCAGTTTATATAAGAATTTATGGTTCTTTTCTTTTGCNCTGAAATACCAGTTTATATAAGAATTTATGGTTCTTTTCTTTTGCTTACTGTTTTATGACATGTATGAGCATGATGTTAGAAATTCTTCCAACGTATCTTCCTTCATGTTTTGTACAGCTTTGAAATTTGCGTCCATATTTTATGAGGACTTGAACAGGAGTTAATTCAAATTTATTTTTCTGTTTGCATTGTACCAGTTTTTACTGGTAACTGTGCTCTGTATTTGGAGAAGGAAATGGCAACCCACTCCAATATTCTTGCCTAGAGAATCCTGTGGACAGAGAAGCCTGGTGGGCTTGTCCATAGGGTCGCACAGAGTCAGACATGACTGAAGCGACTTAGCATGCATGCATGCATGCATTGGAGAAGGAAATGGTGACCAACTCCAGTATTCTTGCCTGGAGAATCCCAGGGACAGAGAAGCCTGGTGAGCTGCAGTCTACGGGGTGGCTCAGAGTTGGACATGACTGAAGTGACTCAGCATGCATGCATGTGCTCTGTATTATTATAGGTTTATTCAGATGTATTTATTATGGTGGTTTGCTTCTTAGTTACCAATTTTCACTGAAATACTGGTATTTGTATTATATTATCATGTTCCTTTGTTGTGTTTTATTGCCTATTATATATCTGTATTCACTGATGCTAATAGCTTTCTTTTTTACTATAAGATTTTATGCTTTTTTCAACATTAGTAGAATAATGCTATATATCTAGAATATATGAATTCTTCTGGAATATCTGTATAAAACAAAGAAGGTTTCTCCTTCTAAAACCACTTTAAAATCACTTTCAAAACATGCAAGGGAGGGGGGACCGGGATGGGGAATACATGTAAATCCATGGCTAATTCATTTCAATGTATGACAAAAACCACTGCAATGAAGTAAAGTAATTAGCCTCCAACTAATAAAAATAAATGGAAAAAAAAACATGCAAATACTTAAATTCCATTCCTCCCTAAATTTCCTTGTAAAATTGTAATGGAATAAGATACACATTCTGGCACCAAGTGTATTAATTATCAAAGTAACCAACACAGTATCACACATCTGGACAAAAAATGTGTTCTGACAATAGCATTAGCCATATAACTTCGTTCTCACCAAAGCCAGGTATTCCAATTTTTGATTCAGAAAATATGAATAATATATTCATGACATACACAAGTGGGAGCTCTTGCTAACAATATTAGTGGAAGACAAGTAAATACATGACCCAGAACATCTGCAGACCAGTTCAGATCAATTTGTGGAGGTATGCTCATCAGCCTTGGCTCACTGCAAGTGTTCAATAATATGTGTGGCTGGATGATTATTCATGATGATGTTCTGTTTTCATAATTTCTTCAAGAATTTTTGTCACAAGAGTAAAACCTTGCTAGGAATTCAGGATCTAAGTCAAAGCAGTTATCTGTAACAATAATTGAGGACACGATACATGCTTTATAAGAATTCTACACGGCAGATGCACCTATGGTGTAGGGCTGCTGTGGAAACTAACCAAGATATTTTTTCAGGATCATTTGACTCTGACAAGTCATGAGAAATACATTTTTAAAAATAATAACCTTGCACTGGGGTTTGGCTATGCTTTCTGAAGTCTAACTGCAGCTGTTAAGGAAGCAGCTCCCCAATTTATGATGTGGTTACCTGGTCATTCTACAGGTGGTATTATAACACAGAACCACCTCATAAAAAGGTTAACTCCTTGTTAATTACAAGATTGGATTTGCTATATGAGGGGACATATTCAGTAGACACTTGGTAAGAATTGGTCAAATGTATCATGGATGAATGTGATTCAGTGCTTTTGGTCCTTTTGATTTCCTAAATGGGAAGTGATTAAACTAATAGCAATTAAATATAATCATAGTATTATAAGTTTTAAATAACATGAAATAGTAAGATAGGATAATAATTTTGATAATGTGGGGGACCATGAACAAATAATAACAATTACTACTATTGATAAATGAACTAGAAAATTATTTCTGTAAGTGTATTGAAAGAGTATGTGAGAAACTATCATCAAAGAATTTCTGCACAACTGTTTATTCAAAGATGTTTCTTCCCCTGGAGGCCCTCTGGAGAACAGCCTGGCCAGAAGACAAGACATTCTGGACAGAAATAACACCGTCTTATAAGACTCAGGATAGGATGAAAAACTGATGTAGACAGCAGACTCAAAACTTCCCAAGGAAACGCTGAGGCAAACTAGAACATTTTGGCACACAGAGGGATTTAGCAGTAGTCTTGTAAAGCCTCATTAAAATGGAACTTTTGACAGGCAACTGAAGCTGCCTTTCATTTCTCTTTCCCTCAGGCTAGCCACTTTGGTAAACTTGCAACTCATGGGTAACTGTAAACCAACTGTGAGTCAATATATGTTTAGATTATGAGTAAAATGTGATAGAGAACAAATCTATTAAAAAGTGTGATTTATATCAGCATGATTCATGTTAAACTCTTTCCCTGAATTCTTTCACTGCAAACTGTATCTGTTCATTTAAGAACTGTAGCTGTGTACTACAGGAAAGGAAAGGCAGGGTACTTTTTTGTCCCAATAAAGGACTGTTGTTGAAGGCCTGCTCCTGCTCTGCCTGCTTATGGCCCTGCAACCCCAGAGAAGAAAGGAAGGCCTTGTGGGAGCCCTCTCTTTATGTAATTTATTCAAAACACATTGAAGCCATTAGGTCACTGCACAGTATTAAGAGGTCTGTGTGCTCACTGGTGGGTTGGAATTCATAACTGATGGTGAAATTACAGGATCCTGGAATCCATGCATTAATATGTGCCTACAGTTGTCTTTCTGCTGTATAACGAAAAGACAACTTAAAACATGTATAAAAACAATTGATGATTGAGAAATTGGGGATTCTATTTATGATATTAACTGCATGGTGAAATAAAAGGTATCTGAGAGAAAACACTATGGATACACGGGGGAAAAAAATTGGTTTGCTTTTCAAACTTGCCAGTTCCACAAAACTGAACACAAGTTGTTCAGCTGTCATTTTAAAAAGTAATTTTAAAGTCCTTTGAGAACTGTGCTGCAAGGCTTGTTATGCCACTGTCTCATTACCCCTGGCACAATGCAGAAAGGCCAGAGTAAATTAAGCATATGTTTGAATTTAGTGGTGTACTCAATGCTAGGCTTACAAATAAAAAAGTCAGAAATGTCTTTGTACTGAGGTAGGAGGTAGATAGGCCTCCCCCAGGATAAAGCAATTGGAGATTCATTCCCTACTGATGGAAACTCCCAAGTCAGGAATAGCAGGACAATTAAGGGAGGAGGCTGGGCCTTGCCCAGACCAGGTATTTCTTGTTTGCGAAGTCAGGAGACCTCCCTGAACATACATGTGCAGAAAAGGTTAATGGCAGGAGAAAGGGGGAGCAATGTCAAGGGATGCTCTACCCAGATGCCTTTGCAGTAGGATCCACCTTGGCTAAGAGATGCATTGCACACATGGAAGGATCCTGAGGTACACCAAAGATAGACTGTGAACTAGGTAAATCAAAATGACTGGCCAAAGGAAACTTGGAAGAAACGCCCCATAAAAGTAATTCAAAATGCCATGAGGGTGCAACTCAGGGACTCTCCCTCTGAGTCTGCTTGTGTGTCCATCCACATATACTGCACTTTTTTTCCCCTCTTGATAAATACTTTCCTTGTTTCACTACTTTCCGTCTTTGTGGGAATTCTTTTCTGCAGAGTCAAAAGGGCCAGGGCCCTTGTCACTGACCACTGGTCTAGTGGCTGGGATCTGGTGCTTTCACCACAGCATTCTAGCCCAATCTCTGGCTGGGAATCCAAGCCCCGCTCTAAACCGTTGCAGACTGAGGCCATGTGAGATCAGTACTACGTTGGATTAACTGCAAAGCAAATATCTAAAGACCTAATGATTATTAGGAAGGATTAGCTTCTGCTTCTGCAGACTCCTGCCTCCACCTCCTGGTGTCCCCCTCCCCCCTTTTTTTAGACAATTTCAATTGCTTTGGAATCTTAAAACATTAGTCATATCTCTCTATTTAAGAGATGATTACATACTATTACTTTGAAAAACACTTTGGGGCTTTTGGTTTTTTAAGAAATTACTCCTCATCCAGAAGATGCTTTCATTATTAGTGAAGTTTTTAATGATTTATAATTAAATTTTTCAGCAGCAGTTTGAAAGAGCTTCACTTCAATATTATGCAATATTTTTTTCTATCTCTAATCATAATAATACAAATATTCCACTAATATAGACTTCTATTTTCCCTTTTAATATAAATAAGGAAAGTGTAAAAAATATATAAATAAGGAAAATGTAAAAGGAAGATATTAAGGAGCATTTCTCAATGAAGAGGTGAGCAGGAACCTCTCAGAAAGGGTGAGGGTTACTGCCCCCAGGTGAGTGCAGGATTTAGTCTCTTTTCTCTGTGTACATATTCAGCACCCATAGAACCCCACCGTTCACCAAAGAGGTGCTCTAGCATGAGCTGGGGATTGTCCCCTGACAATTTCTAATCAGCACACCCAGATCAGTGAATAAACTAAACTAGCAGCTATAAGCCCAGTGGATAAAATGACATCTTTGTAATCAGACTTAGTGACATAAACACATTCACTAAAAGACAGACAAACCTTTCAGTTTTCCATCAAAGTTTGGATTGGTAGCTACTTTTAGGCCAGGATGAGGTAGCAGAAAACAGGAAATTTTGGTGAAACAGGAATGGATGTGTTTTCGAACATTCTGTAGTTCTTCATGCTGGTTCCCTGAGACCTGTAGTAAATCATTCTGAAGTTTAAATGACTTTCAACACAAATTGAACTCCAAAAGAATTCTGTGGCATTTATATTTGCTATGTCTGGTCACAATGATAAAAAATGACATGACAGGGCTGATACTAAAAGTTTTGGGTCAATTTGCCACATAGCCACATTTAAGTATAGCATACATATGGCATTATTACTATAATTAACAAATGTCTACTCTTACTCAGAAGAGCCTTCCCATTTTTTAGTACAAATTAGTGGGATTTTACTCCAGCTAGTTCCTACAAATTCAAATTTTAATTCAAAGTACTCACAAAGACATGAGTAGATCATAAGATATTCCTACCCTCTTTTCAGGAGGTACTCAAAGACAGCCTCTTGTCACTTGGCAGGTATACATTTAAATTCTAGAAAGACATCTGGATAGTTGGGTATTTATATACAAGCTAAATTGCCTCCTTTTCCCCTATGTATTAGACAGTTAGTAGTACAAATTATCCTAAAAATAACCATAGCCTTAAAAAGTAAATCTTTGATTTACTTTGATTATCAAGATTTCTTTTTTTAATCTTCATTTTTTTTCTGATTACTCATTAGGTATTTTGGGGGATATCTGTTCAACTATTGAACTATCATGACATAGACAGTTAATAGCCTCCTCCTAATATCACATTCTGTGAACTACTAGCAAAATGTCCTAAGATTGACTTTGGGGATCTTAAAACTTAAATATTTTCTTAAATTGACTTTAAGCCTCTACTAAACATGAATCCAGATATTTGTACTGTCAATCTTCAACTGATTTAACTCTTCAAATTAAAGATTTTATCTTTAGGAATAAATCATTGTTTTACAGATAGCTACAAAATAACTCTTTTTCTGAATCATAATTATCAATAATATTTAAAATTGTAATTGACATTTTATTAAGTATCACTCTTAGTTTGTTCACAGAGATACTATGAAGGTCAAATGACGCTGTGGCTATTGAGTATCTATTCAAGAAGTCACTTAACAAAAATAATTTTAGATCACTGTTGGGGAAATTTCATGCATCTAGACAGCTAACAAACCTTGAGGCGTTTTTCCAAGAATTTGGAGCCACCGTCAGATCCATATGAAAATTCGTATGGGAAGCTCCAGTCTCGAACGAGAAATATCAGACTCTAAGAGATAATAAGAAGAAAGGATTGATAAAGGAACTCTAAATTGCCTCCATCTGTTTTTTACTGTAATATATTAAATTATATTATTGCTATCTGAATAGTGTTCTTCTCCACATAAAGGAATTAAAAAGCAAACATAAAACCTAGGAAAGCTGTTTCTGAGCATTCACTCCTCTCTGAGATCATCCTACCTGTTTTCATGGAATGTGAATAGAAAGCTGCCCCCAAAATGACTGAAGTTACATAGTGCCATTCAGCCAGTTTGAGGCATCTCTGTCAGTTTTCAGGAAGTTTTTTATGAAGATTCAAGTTTTATTTGAGGAAAGTTTTCTCCTTCCATCTGTCTAAATATTTTTCCTCTATTACATCTGTCCCATTCTCTTCTTCAGGGGTTCTCATCATGCATACCTGGTAGGCAGAGGGGCAGGAATCCACGTTTTGTGGGGCCTGAAAGTTATACAATCTGTGTGGGGGAGAGGGCTCAATAGGAAAAAGGTATAAAAATGGGCTAAAAAGTTGATATTTATTTACAATGAGAAAAATAACAAATTACAAATTTTAAAACACTGACAAATACCACAAACACATTTGTAAAAATCCAGAAAAATAACTAACATACCTTTGTAATACTTTTTTCTCCCACTTTTTGACTGCAAATGCTTTGATCGCTTCTTCACATGACAATTTTGAAATATTTTCTGTTAGAAAGCTAGTTCAGTCTTTCCTCTAACAAGGCCAAAATTTTTATTATAAAAAATTTTTTATTGTTAATAGTTTAGAAATATTTCAGCTTCACAACTTGTTATTTGTAATATCATATTTCTTCATCTGTTAAATAGAGATAATAAGGGAGCCAGCCTCACAGGACTACTAAATGAAATAGTATACAGAAGACATTTCGAACAGTACCTGGTACTTAATGCTATGGTAGCTACTTGATTTGATTTTAATGGCCACATAGTATTTTAACACATGGATAGACCTAACTTATTTTGCATTCTCCTAGATGTTTTCCAGTTTTTCTAAGTACTATTCTAAGAAATGCATTGATAAACATCCCTGAAGCTGAGTATTTGTTTATATCCAGAAGGATTTTTATCAGGGACTGTCTTCTCCAAATTAGAACAATCATTAGAATCATTTGAGAGGCTCTTAAAAAAGTGCAGAATTCTTGGGCCTCCCTCCACACCTACTGCAACCAAAGTTAAGAGCAGCTTTCCTTTATCAAATGCCTATTGTATATCAAGCACAATACCGGTATCATACACATGATGTATTTCATGCACTCCTGCCCCAGGAGAAGTTATAATTTATTAGTTTGTCTTAAAAGAGATACATAAAAATCACCTTCACCCTCCAACCTGATGTTAATCAAGTAATTTTCCCAAAGCCACAAGGCCAGAGTGGAAGAGGTGGCATTTAAACTTGGGAAAATTCCTGCTGCACTGCCTCAAAATTAAGTATAGAACACATAGTTTACAATCTGACACATTAAAGCATTCTTTAATAAGTTAATTAAGTTATACTTCAATTTTAGTATCTGGAAAAATACAGGAAGTTGAGGGAAAAATTAGAATATTTTACTGACATTAGCCATCTTTAAATGTCTAAGCGTTTACATCTCTGGGCTTCTAATTGAGACTTTTAGTCTTGACCATTAAAATTGATACCGCTTTGAACTCTTTTAAGCTTTTCCATCCTTTCTTTCCCTTTACAGTTTATCTGTTGAAGAACCTACAAGTCTGACCTGGATAGATTTCCATAACCTGAACCCTGCTGACTGCATAGCTCCAGGGCAGTTCAACATGTTCTTTCGTCCTCTGAATTGCCTACAAATTGGCAACTGGATACAGAGTCTTGATCTGACTCCGGTTTTATTTTCTGGCCAGACTCTATGAAGCAGAGTGTTCTTTTATTAGGAGGCACATAGTATATGATTATTTCTCCTTTGGTGAAGTTACGTCATCTTTGCTTAACTGAAGCTCATTCTTCAGGAGATTTCTCATTAAGGGCTCATGGGAACAACATTCTTTGTATTCTTACATGCTAACAACATTTTGTGCCCTTGATAAGTGAAAGTCAATTTTGCTGGATATAAAATCCTTAGCTCACATCTTCTTTCCTTAAACAGGGACACGTCTTAGTTAGAATTATGGATATTTCTTGTTTCATTACAGTGTAAGTCCCCCCCGCCCCCGTGTGTGTGTGTGTGTGTGTGTGTGTGTGTGTGTTCCGTGGATTCTTGTGGGGAAAGGAGAGATTCCCGTGGAGCAGACCATTTAAAAATATCCATATGCACTATCTCTAAATAGTCCACTATCTTTAGATAGATGTTCATTCTTGTCAACATTTTTGTATGATAATTTGTATTTAGAACATTTCTACTTAAAACATGCACTTTGAAAATAGAGGTTAGATAAGAAGCAACTTTTGCAAAATAGAGGTTCATGAATCAGGATAAATGAAACCAACTATGTGGATTTGGCTATATTTTGCATTTTTCTTGGAAGAGTTTAGTCTCTTTTCTTGGTCTTTTTCACTGGGCATCTTCCCAAGTCAACGAAATGAGGACCATGTGTAGAATAGGATCAAAGATGAAGTCTTATTTTCTTAAATAAGTACTCTATATTCTATCTACCTTTAGTGTCAAATTCTAAGTTGCTTCCCTATGCTCCCATCCAGTGCTGTGCTGGTATAAACTGGTTCTCCAACAATAATAGCATGCCTTCACTTGTGGCATTTGAGAATTTCTGCTGTGCAAATGTGCCCACCATGGCTGATTTCAAGCTACTAACAGTTTAATAACTGGCTTATGTAACTCCTGAATATTTACTAGTTAGCTCTCAAAGTGGTATAAGCCAGCTACAGTACACCCACTGTCCCCATCCCCTCCTCAAATAATTCATATGCTTTACATTTATCCTGTATGGAATGCTATGAATTTCAGTCCTTATTTCAAAATGCATCCATTTTTCCACACTGCTGAATTTTATTTGTTCATACATATAGGTAGAGCTTTAAAAAGTCAAGAATACAGATTACTCTAACTTTCTCAGATAAAAATATCTGGTCATACTTTTTAAAAATAAATTAAATCCAGTCAGACAACTGGGGAAAATGATGGACCTACACTTTGCATATCCTTCAAGTGATCAGAGGATGAAAATTATGAAAAACATTGTAACTTTTGTTTATTTTCCTTTGAAGACCATCATTTCCTCTAGGAAATTATTCAAAAGGAGTGCTACAGCACCACTATTAGTGAAAAATGGAAAAAAATTCAAATGCTCAACAATTGGGAATGGTTATGTACATTATGGCATATCAACATATTACATAGCTAAATATTACAAAAGTGTGGAGTGTATCAATACATGTATTAAGTCAGTATAAAAAGGCTTACATGAAAAAATGTTATCTGAACCATAATGCTAAATTTATGTGCACATCCATTATAAATATGTGAAAACACTCCCAAACTCCCAGGAAAAAACTATTCTAGAGTCATGTAGCCAGTGAATACCTGAACTGGTTTAACCTATTTAATCAATCAATTTCAGTTTTAATTTCAGCTTCAGGTAGTAAGTAAACACTGGAACTCATTTTAAACCCTTCTAAGTAAGTAACACCTCACTTCAACCAACAGCCCACTGAAAGCCAGCTTCATACTTTAAAAGTCAGTCAAGAAGTAGAAGAATCACCTCAGAAAACTGAGGCTGTGTCAACCCATTGCTAACCTCTATAACCAGACACAAAACATGCTTCTGTATTCAACAAGAAAAAATAATTCAAAAACTGATGTTAACCCATTCTTGTCTCTGTAAACCATGCAAATCCAAGACAAAGCCCCCAACTCTTCATAATAATCATTTGTTTTGCTCAATGAACCTCCCAAGTATAACTCTTTTACTAAACTAACCAATAAACTCAGCTCTGGTTTTTGTATCAAGTTTTGAGTGAAGGTCTCATCCGCCGACTATTCTGAAGTCCTACCGAGATAGTTCTGAATGCCCTCACTGGGCAGTATTCCCTATGAACCTCAGGTTAACATGTCTACTTTCCATGTCCCCTGTTCCCAAATTCCATCTGTCCTTGAAATTTACTTAGAGGTGAATCTGTCTCAATGATGATCAAATCTGAGTTCTAATTTGTTTCACTGAGCTCTTGCTGCTGATTAATTTGTTATCCTAGAATTTTTGTTATAAAGACTCAGTGGGTCTTTATATGGGTCATTAGTTCTATGTCTCTGTAAAGGGTTCTATGAACCTCAGGTTAACATGTCTACTTTCCATGTCCCCTGTTCCCAAATTCCATCTGTCCTTGAAATTTACTTAGAGGTGAATCTGTCTCAACGATGATCAAATCTGAGTCCTAATTTGTTTCACTGAGCTCTTGCTGCTGATTAATTTGTTATCCTAGAATTTTTGTTATAAAGACTCAGTGGGTCTTTATATGGGTCATTAGTTCTATGTCTCTGTAAAGGGTAATTCAACCTTTTTTTTGGTAAGTGTACTCATTGAATAAAAAATTATACCTAATTTTTGTATAATGTTATTAGAACTTTAGGTTTAGAGGTATATTATTCAGTAAATATTTTTGCCATTAATCTATTTTTTTTTTTTTGCTGCTTTTCCTTCTTTGTTTGAAAACTCATACAAAGTATTGTCTTGTATTTTATCTTGAATTGTCTTGTGTCACTGAATGCATAAGGAAGTGCTTTATAAAGAACAAAGACCTAAGTAGTAACCAGATTAATCAGGATGCCCCAAAGACTAATGGTTGGAGGTCTGTTAAACCAGCAACAAATTTATGCAAAAGTAGTCAGTCAAATTTTGCCTTGGGTTCTCTACAACATGTAGAGGCCATTCTCATTCTTGTCAATTTGCAAATTACTTTGTTTAGTCCATAATGTAGGATCAGTGACTATCAGATTATTGACTGTACGTAGCACTGTTCTAACACCCGCTTGAGGACCCAGGTGCTTTTCATAAGCACACAAT